TTCCTGCGCAATGCCAGCTACATGGCCTGGGCCTCTTTCTTCCTTCTGGTAAATTCCCCCACCGGCCACTTGATTGGCTGCAGGGGAGTGGGGCCTGGCAGTGGGGGACCCCTGCCTCCGGGGGGGGGGGGCTGGCAACCCTTGTCAGAAGGGACTGCGGAAACAGAGACAAATGTGGGAAGACTCTGTGTACCTCCTGTGCATAAATGGATTGAACCATTCAAATAAAGCTGGTTATAAAGCTGAACATTTTCTACTAAATGTGCCATCCATAATGTTAGAAATTAATGCCTCAGTTTATCTGGACATCAGTTCCCAACAAGGCTGAATAACGAGCCAGTAGGGTTATGGGGGGGGGGCAGTTTCCTAGAGTAAAAGAAATGGATTTCTGATGGTTGTCTTACAGCCTTTTTAGGGTAAAGCGGCTGGGGGGGGTATACTGTTTGACTCTCTTAGGGAGTCTTTACAGGCAGCAAAAGAGGAGGGCCCATAAGGATACAGAACACCTACTGTGTGCATTTGTATGGGGGATGCCTCAAGTGAAAATAGCTACTTAAAGCCATTTCTAAATGGCAGTCACTGTGCTGGCAGTTCTGGAGCGCTCAGCTTATAAACAATTTTAATAATGCCGTTCTGAAGTAAATAGTGCCTGTTATGTACAGATAAAGTCTGCTCAGGGTGGCTTTATCTATCAGATGAGAATGTCACGAAGGTTAATGTATGGTCCCCTCTGCTTTCATACATACACAATGTGCCACATTGTCAATTCAGGGTTCCCCCCCCCTTTTAAACAACTCCCACCCGAACCAGCTTACTGTAGATCTTTTGAGGACGTCCAAAGTAAGGAGCATATTTAAAATGCTGGGGATTTTTCTTGGAGACATCTGGGCATCTCTTCAGGAGCTGATTGCTGGAGTCAGTATGCTGGCCCTTATAAGGAGGTGCCTTTATTAACGGAGCAGAAGAGAAATCCTGCTGGATGAGACCAAAAGCCCATCTGTCCAGTGGTGGCCAGCCTGAGGCCTCTCTGGGATAGGGACACAGCCCAGCCTGGTCTTCCTGCAGAAGTCGCATTTGAATGAACAGAAGCTGCACAAGACCAGAGGGCCGTTGTGCAACTCCCAGTTGTTTTCAGAGGTGATTGCAGAGGAGAATGGTATTTCCACTTGTATTTTGTCTCTAAACTAAGACGTCCTCAATGTGGAAGTCCCTCCCACCCCTTTAGGTTTCCAGTCATTTTTGCCAAACTGTTTTCTATGCTGGGAATGATTCTGAGACTTGTCATTTTTTGTCAAACACATGTCGGGGTTTTTGCCTCTGTTCCAAAGGCATTGGCACATTATTTTGCTTTCAAACAACTCCTCATGAAGAACATTTTTTCCATTCTCCTTGTAATTTGGATTTTCCTTTGTTTTAAAATGGCTTACATCAGAGGAGAAAGACTAGAGCTATCAAATACATTCCTGGAAGGCAGGATTAATGCATTCAGCAACCATGGTATGCCGAGTTGAAGAGACCCTATTGCATTATCAAAAATGGTAATTCAGTAATTTTAGTAATTTAAAAAAAAATTAGAGTCCCCTCATAATTCAAGGCCCTAAACTGCTGCTTATTTAGCTTGTGCATAAATCCAGCTCATGAATTACTGATACTCCAGGAATGAATTTTGGTAGTGTTTCAGTAGGCATCTGGATAGCTGCACATGTTATTGCAGTTTTGGAAGACAGCATTGACAGGGCAGAGGCTTCTGTGCATGTGGCGCTTTGTGACAAGGATAACATGTGGGCTGGCCTTGTAAACCATACCTGCACATTCTACACTGCTTTCCTAACAAAATTCCTCTCTAGAAGAACAAAGTCAGGGATACATGGGGGGCATTTCATGTAATCTCCATATTGGCTTGATTGATTCTCTTTCCTCTGAAAATTCCCCCTTACCACCGATGGGAGTTTTGCTCTCCGTTTCAGTGTGTCTTGATCTGCAGCCTGGTTTTTCTTTGCATTCTTGTTTGTCAACTGAGCATTTCCATTGCTTTCCATCTTTATGTCACAGGACCAAAAGATCAGTGGCAGAGCATATGCTCGGGACCTGGTAGAACATATTGGCTGAGGGATTAAGACGCGACCAGGGAAGCTGCTGCTTCAAATCTCACCTCTACCTAGGGTTGCCAGCTTCAGGATGGGAACTCCCCAGAGATTTGGGGGTGAAGCCTGGGAAGGGCAATGTTTGGGGAGGGGAGGGACATCAGTGGAAGAAGAAGAGAGATTGGATTTATACCCCCACCTTTCACTACCCAGAGGAGTCTCAGAGCGGCTTACAAACTCCTTTCCCTTCCCCTCCCCACAACAGACACCCTATGAGGTGGGTGGGGCTGAGAGAGCTCTTTACAGAACTGCTCATGAGAGAACAGCTCTGAAAGAACTTGTAACTGACCCAAGGTCACACCAGCAGCTGCAAGCGGAGGAGTGGGGAATCAAACCTGGTTCTCCCAGATTAGAGTCCGCATTCCTAACCGCTACACCAAACCACCTCATTATACTGGAGTATAACGTCATATAGTCCCACCCTCCAAAGCAGCCTTTTCTCTAATGTTGTCATCCCTGCCATCTAGTCTTGCCATTCTCCTGGGGGGGTGAGGGTTTGCCCACTTTAGGGGGCCCTGATCCGCCGCCCCAGATCCAGCTAGTGGGAGAAGCCCCGCCCCCAAAGTGCCAGGATCAAGCCAACATGCCTGGCACCATGACGTCACCTGGAGGTGACAGATTGTACCAGGCACATTGCCAGGGGGACGCTGTAGCACTCAGCCTAAAAACTCTATGGTACCAGAAAATCTGGGTAAGGAAGCTCCATCCCCCTGCCAGCAGCAGGTAGGGACCTGGCAACCCTACTGCCATCAGATTGCCTCCCCCCGCCTTTTTTATTTGCACAGGCGTACTAGCAATACTGTGCCCTAACCCTAAATTAAGACTGATCGTTCAACATGTCACTTGTTAAAAGAAAGACCACTACAACATGGTTACTGTTCATGTGTTATCCTGCACCATTTTGAGTAACACAGAAATGAAAGTTCATTGCAACAAACACAAATAAACATAAATAAGAGTGATATGTACACCAAGATAATGTGAGGGGAAAAATTCCCCACTGCTGGCTACTAAAAATTACATATCAGCTGGGTGAAGGGGACAAGAAAGGTAGCCCTAGGTGAATGGGATTACGAAAACCAAAGGCAGGAAAAGGCAAAGGGAGGACATGAAATTCTGTGTGCTGCTGAAGAAATTAGCAAACTGGTCATAAAGTAGAGACTTTTTGAACATATCACAGTAGGGAACATAAGCAAACATTGTTGCCATTGATACAATCCAAGCAAAGGGACAACTTGGGGGGCCGGCTTGGGGATCCTCTGCCAGCAGAAAGGAGGGAGGGAAGATCTCTTCCCCCAAACCTCACAAACCACAAACTGGTTCATTAACCAGGAATGTACATGGAAGTTCATGCGACCCCATGAACCTCAATTTTCCTGGTTTGTGCCCATCCCTAGTAGTAAATGCTCTTTTTGTTCTATAATCAGCAGCTCAAATTCAGTCGTATCTCTTAGACTTCCACCTTCAATACTCACAATCTCCTTTAGTCTTGAGAATGATAATATATCAGCCATTGAATGTTTCGTTTTGGCAGCACATTCATTTTGATTGCAGAGATTCTTCCCAGCCATGGGTTTTTTTAGTTTCGTCCATCTTAATAAATCTGCTTGTACCAAATTTTCTGGTAGTTAGTTTTTTAAAAGATTACAGTTTTGTCCAGTCACATTTATTCCCAAGTATTTAATAGGGGCATTGACTGTTGAGCACTTTGTGCTCTTTATAATCTCTTCTTCTTCTGTTAAAATTTTCATTATCATTTTTGTGTGGTATAGTGGTTAAGAGCGGTGGACTCTAATTTGGAGAACCAAGTTTGATTCCTCACTCTTCCACATGAAGCCAGCTGCATGACCTTGGGTCAGTCACAGTTCTCTCACAACTCAGCCCCACCTACCTTACAGGGTGTCTGTTGTGGGGAGAGGAAGAAAAGGCGATTGTAAGCCGCTCTGAGACTCCTTTGGTTAATGAAGTGGGGTATAAAAACTATCTCTTCTTCTTCTTCGGCACCCTCTTGTCCCCCTGCTCCTATGTTTTTATTTATTTATTTATCAAATTCATATTCCGCTCCCTCTCCCCAAATTGAGACTCAGGGAGGCTAACAGCATATAAAATAACACCAATAAAAACAATACAAAGATACAATAAATAATGTTTAAAATATAAAACAGTTAAAATCTATCCCCATTTTTTGTCCTCATCTAGTTTTCATGGGCTACTCCTTGAGCCTCCCAAATGTTTAAGGTGTCCCACCATCTGCTGACTGCTAAATCTGAACCTTTACATCTTAGGAAGTGACAGTTAGCTGTAACACTGTTGTGAGCTTGTTTGCTGATAAAATAACATAAATATGCTGGTAAAATAAGGCTGGCAAATGAAATGCCTAATACATCATCTGATCTGATTATGGACTCTTTACCTAGCTACTGTGATAGATACTGACATGATCCTGGGATCAGTGAAGGCCACCACATGTGCACTGGACTCTTGCCCATCCTGGGTGCCATTTTGCGGTCTGCACATGTTTTGGGGTAGCAGCTATTGCTCAGTGGTAGAGCATCTGGTTTGCATGCAGAAGGTCCCAGTTTCAATCAGTAAAAGGGTCAGATTGTAGGTAATATGAAAGATCTCCACTTAGTCTCTGGAGAGCTCCAACAAATCTGAGTAGATACTGATCTTGACAGGTCTGATTCAGTAGAAGGCAACTGGTCAGCTGCTATGGCAGCTAGTGGGAACTGTTCCTTTCCACCATCACCCTTAGGTCACCAGATAGGTGCAAAACGGTACATCGACTACTTGTGCAAATGAGGGAATAATGTTTTTGTTTTCCTTCGATTCCCCCTGCCCCTTCTCCCAACACAGAATCTGCTGGGTACACACAACTTGGGTCGAGTCTATTACGAACCGATTAAGGACCGGCATGGCAATATCATCATAGTTACCATAAGAGAAGTGGAGACTCTCTATTCTTTTTTCAATGGCAAATGGATGCAGATATCAAAGCTACAAAGCCAGAGAAAATCCCTTTCAACACCAGAGGAGCCGACGGCATTAGACATCTTGCTCATCACGATCCAGGTATATATTTGGTCTTTATATACCCTATAGCGAAAAATAAATAAATCAGTTGAGACCTGGAAACTTCATTATCAGCCAAGCCAAGTACAATCTACTATTGAGGCTGTAGCTAGGGAAGAAGGCACTGGTTGCTCCACACCACTGGTTTGCCCCACATTTTTCTTTAATCTGTGGCATGACAGATTTTTTTTAAAAAAATGGAAGGTTGTTTTCAGAATAAGAAATTAAGTTTGACAAACCCTGCATTAGTTGTTATTTATGACTGTGAGCATGGTAGGACTGTTTGACTTCTTCAGTCTGTGGATGGGATCCTCCCCAGTCAAATTGTTCAAGACCCAGACTACTTCAGCCATAATATCGCTCCCTCCTACAAATTGGTGTGACTCTCTATCTGGAAATGTCACCGTTTCACGTACTGAGAAAGCGTACAGAGAGAACTTTATTCTCCCTCTTCCTTAATACTAGAACTCAGGGGTACTCAATGAAGTTGTTGGGGAATTAGTTCAGGACAGGCAAAAGAAAGTCACTTTTTTTTTTTACTCAATGGGTGCTCATATCGAGGGATTCACTACCAGTAGTTGTAGTGATGCCCACAATCATATATGGCTTTTAAAGGGAATTAATTAATTTAATTGCTTAAATAGGTCCATCAGTAGCTATTAGTCATGGTCACAAAAGGGAACCTCTATATTCAGAAGCAGCAAAATTCAGAAACTCAGTATTAGGAGGCAACATCAGGGGAAGGCCTTGGCCTCTGTGCCTTGATTGCTGGCCCTCCAGAGTAACTGGTTGGTCACTGTGTGAACAAGGATGCTAGACTAGATGGTCTGATCCAGCAGGGCTGTACTTACATTCTTATGTACTGAAGAAGACTGTCCGTCTATCTTCTATGTACCATAAGGGGCTTCATAAACTTCATGAGGAATTGGATGAACATTATTCGATGAGCACATTCTCCTCTGGTATAAATTTGAATTGACCATGCTGCTTTTTTTTTTTAATGGAAAAAATCTGGGCCCAAACCTGAAATTCCAACCTTGGCATATCTGATTTAGTAGGAAGTACCCAACTAGGAGCACAGGGTGTCCACTAGGACACAAGCCATGGTACCAGGCTTAAACTAAGGGTTACTTATGTTCCCTCCATCCCAGTGATATTAACTATTATAAATCCAACACTAACCCAGCATAACTAATCAGAAGCAGGAGATGGAAACCATTTCGTTAAATTTTGCACCCTTTTTGTTAGGTGTTACTTCACTGAAAATATGTGTAAATGGGAATATTGCAGCTGGCTCTGTGCTACACTTGCTGCATTTAAAAAAAAGACCTACAGGTACAAAATAGAGAGATTGGGGAGGGAGAGTTGAACAATAGATTTATATCAGAAAGCCCCCAAATACAAGTCTGATCGGGTTTCTGCCAAGTCCCTTGTGGAGGGAAAAAAGGTCCCCTTAATGGTTTGTGAATTCCTATCAAATGTCCAGCTTTTCTTGGATTAGTAGTAGAATGATCAAATGGCTATTTTGTGACTACCAAGATCTAATTGCACTGCTTGGAGCCAAGCACAGCAATGGCAGATAATTTGATGGTTCCAGTGGCAAAGGCACAGGGCCAGGTGAGTTAATCCTCACCCTCTCCTGTGGCATGCATACCTCAGGATGGCAGTTGGTTTCATTTATTAGGGTAATCTTTGAGGAATGCTAAATATATATATGAGGGTTAATGCTTTCTTTATTTCGCTTTATGGATGTTAGTTAAGTACATGCCGATGGACAGAGCAAGTCCTTTTGGAGAGCTCTTTCTGATAATAGAGGTCCTTTTGTTAGAAGGTGGCTCACATTAGATTGCTAATAAAAAAAATAGTTTTATTCTAATGTTGCAGCCAGTGGGGCTGGTATGCCCGGGACTTTCTCTGACATCACTACATAAGGACCAATTACATTAAGGTGCATTCTTTGTTGTGAGCCTGCCTTGTAGAATGGCCTGCCTGCAGAAATCCGGAAGGCACCTGTACACCTTCTTCAGGAGGGTATTTTCACAAAGGGAATAGGACTATAGTATAATGGATTGGCTCAGGAAGGTGCCGTCATAAAGGGAAAATGACTGTCATCTATGCCCTTTTTATGGTGTGCATTATCTGTTTATTGTATGTATTATGCTGCTTTTACTGCATTATGTTCTAATTCTGTCATTCCATCCTCTGCATTGTTTGACACATCATGTCTGATACTGTTTTGCACTTTTTCTGATTTGTATAATCCTAGTCCTGTTGCAGCGTTTATTCAATATTTCATGCCATCATGCTGTTTGATTGCATAGTTTTATACCGTGTAAGCTGCCTTCAGTCTCAGTGAGAAATGAGGGCTATAAATAAATAACATTTAGATCCCCGAAGCACAGAATAGAGCAGTACTCAGTGCTCTTCTCTTTAGATAGTTTTTGTAAAGGTTTTATAACATTCCAGCCTTAGCTCCTTCAGGACTACTGGCACACTATATATCAGCAGCAGGGAGATGGCAGATTCTGGTTGGCTATAATGTTGGGTTCTTTTTTCCACCTTCTCAGATAGCCTGACCATATTTTCATTATTAAACCTAAGTAATAATAGACACACACCTTATTCTGGGGCATTTTAATTACAGGATGCAGGAATTAAAGTACGCTGCAGCAGGATGCTTTGATACTTCCGGACTACCACTTAAATACTTCTGGACTGCCACTGAGTGGCATCAGAGGAAAGCTCATGTACTAACTGACCACCCTCCCACCCCATTTTTTAGCCAAGCCCAGGAGAAGAGCCCATCTCACATGCTGTAGGAATTCCAGAGTTCTACCAGCACAGAGGGCTCACTCTAGCAGGCCAGTTTTCTACTGAGAACTGATATACACAAACTGCATGTTTGTTCCTTGCCAGTGAACTCATCTGTTCCCATCTCAATGAATTTGTGCACTAGCCAATCTAGTTTATGCTTGATTTCAGCTTATTTGGATGGAGATGGGGGCACAAATGTTAAAAGTCATAAACAGGAAAAAAAAAAACACCTAATTCTCTAACTGGAAAAGTATGAAACTGAGGCAAAAACATTAGAGGTAAAATGGCAGGGGCACTGCCAAGAAACATCTAAGATAACCCATGGGAAGCCAAAGGTGCTTTAATGAGATGGTCTCAATGGGAAAGGCAGACAATAAATGAAGTATAAATAATGAAATCTCCTTCAGAAGCTGTGCTAATTTATCAAAACTCTATTGACTTTCCTCAATTACCATAGACACGTCACCTCAGCGGGGCCTTCCAAATTCAGAACTTGCCCTAGGCATACTTTGGTGGTAAGTCTGTTCCCCCCCTCTGTCCTCAGTAGATGAGAAATATAAGCAATAAAGGGACAGTGTAGCCATAAACGTCTCACCCTGGCAACTGAGCTAATTGGACTCTCCTGTGGGATTCTCTGTGCTGCCTTCCATCCTAATGGTGAACCAGACCGGGCGGGAGACTAATCCCTGTTGTATCTGCCAAGTACGAATTAGAATGCTTTCATCACTCGTTTAGAGAGGGACACTTCACGCTCCAGGACAAAGAGCATTTCCAGTTCTAAATGCATTGCTAAAAGCCATCCTCTCCCCCCCCCCTCAAAAAAGCTTGCTCCTTGAATGCACTGGTAAACAGCTTCTGCCTCTGCAGCTCGGCCTCCTCTCAAGTCAAGGCCAGATAAAAGCCATCAGCAGTCATTCATATCTATGTACATATGGATACATCTGGAGAGACTGGGGGGCACTCACTGGCCCACCCCCACCTCCATCTCCCCACTTGAAGCGAGAACAAATTTCAAAAGCCGTCTGGTTCCATCTGAATATTCCCCTTTGAAAGTGTGTTTCTCACTTGTGAAAAATTGACTCATGAGCCTATTTTTTTCCCCTTGTTGCACAGATTTCCCCCCCCTTTCTTCACACCAGTTTCCCCCATTCAGTGTTGTGTTTTCAATGCTAGTTTTGCATCAGTTGCATATACTTGGCATATAGATGATTTATAACAGTATTGGTGGTGGAAAGTGCCATCGAGTCACAGCTGAACTATGGCGACCCCATGGGGTTTTCAAGGCAAGAGATGTTCAGAGGTGGTTTGCCCTTGCCTGCCTCCCTGGCATTTTTTGGCGGTCTCCCACCCAAATACTCAGCCAGGGCTGACCCTGCTCAGCTTCTGAGAGCTGACGAGATAGGGCTAGCCTGGGCTATCCAGGTCAGGGTAAAGATTGCATTAAAATTGCATAAAAGAAACAAAATGAATCCTCATAAACGGCAATGAAAACCAGAGAAACTAAAACCAGCTACAAAAGGACAACACTGAAAACAAAGCCAAAATGGCCATATCAGCTAAACTCCTATTCCTCACACCCAAGGTACTATTTACCCCAAAATAGTTGCAATCACTACTGTCAGTTTTTACCAGATACAGACTGTTTAAAGCGAGCCTGTTGGGTAGACATGCGTAGAGTTCTGAGCAAATGAGGGACAGGGGAACAATGTCTGTGTCTACACCACTGTGATCATCTGCACACTGCTTCTGTATCAGTTTCATCAAAGCCTTACCATAGATATGTATGATCATTCCCTACTGTCTGACTGCAAGATAACTTACTACGATGGAGATGCTTAGTCCTACATATTGAAACTCTACACAGGATTGTACTTTAAAAGATTTGAAAAGTGCACATCCCTTCTTATTGCTTTGTTATCAAACCCGGGGATGTCTATATTGTAACAACAGAACTCAGCAATCATAAAATAAAATAAACACCTCCTGTAATGTTACCCATTGCTTTCTAATCCTCGACTTTCCACTTGTAAGAAGGCTTTCCAGATAGTCTTTTGGTGTTTTCTCTTTTCCAATAGGATACACTCTCCTATCACAGAAGGAGTCAACAGCGCCTGGCTCCTGGCCTGTATTTGGGCTTCCTGAAACTCTGTAGCTCGGTGGATCAGATAAAAGTACTTGTACTGCAAAAGCTGCCTAACATTCTGTGTCATGTTAAAATCCGAGACAACAGCAATGTGTCCAAGTAAGTGGCGGAGGGGGGGGGCTCCTACTTCAAGGTTTTAATTTTGCAAATTGCTTTACAAACTATATATTCTGTTTGTTTTCCCTCCCTACAATGAGGTTGATTGCTGTTATTCCCATGGGGAACAAAACCTCAGAGAAACAGAGAGTAGTAATAGTGCCAAAGAAAGAATCCACCCCAGAAGCAATCTTGAAGCCATGCCTTGCAGTCCTAGCTTTCTACCTTCAGGACCTCACTGGCTCATTGTGCTTCGTTGTGAATGTTCATGAGCCTGCAACAGTTACTTAGGTCAGAGATCTATTTTTTTAAAAAAAATCATTAATATTTTTCCCTCCTGTGAGGGCCCCTAGAGGGAGTAGAACACTGAAGTTGCATTGATCCATGTGGATACACTGCACAGGGTCCAACTACATGATATATGTTATATATATATATATATTAACAAAGTGAATCTGGGTTCTTCAGACCCCACCTGCTTTCACATCAGTCACACAGCAGCTACAAGGAAGGTTGCTTTTAAAGCCTGCAGGAGCTCATTTTGCTCAAGACGGGAGGGGTGGAGCAAGGGGGCTCTTGCTTTCCCCTTTTTTCCTGAGCTGAAACAGCGTAACTTTGGAGCTGCATGTGGAGTATTCTGAGTAGATGCTGCTTTTAAGTTATTCAAATAATGCTTCATTGAGGCCCTTTTGCACGAGGATAAGGGTGTGGGGGAGAAGGCAGGAGTTCCCTCCTCCTCCCCCACCTGTGTTGTAAGCAGAATCATCACAAACATCAAAAGAAACAAAAAAAAAACCTTAAGAAAAAGTAAAATGTATCATCTGATAAACCCCCTCCCCCAAACAATCTATTTAACAATTTATCATGATTAGGAATAAAATGGCAAATCCTGATTGCCAGTTCAGACTTTCCCCTATGGGCAAGAAGCTCAGTGGTGTGAAAGTAGTTCTCAGAGGAGAACCCCTACTACATATAGCAGTAAATGTCATAGATGGATTTGGGGAGCTTGCAGCAAGGCAGATTATCTCCCCCCACACACATACACTATGAACCCTTACAAAGCAAATACATTAGCATGTATCCAGTTGTGCAGTTCCAAATATTCTAGAGCACTTTAGAGCCTTGCTGTGCCTAACTAACTCCTTGTGTTTGGCAGTGGACAACACAAGGACCTTGTACTGACATGTGATGAAAGTTTAGTGCCTCCCAGAGGCATGTTGGCCCTTTTACTGCTCATGAGTGGGGTGCTTGGGAAAAAGCAGCTTCAACCTTCTCCCCTGCCCCATGTCTCAAACTGCCTCGTGGAGCCACTACTGGCTGTGTTGCAAATATCATGTTATTTATATGGCTACACATAATTTTCACAATGGAGCCTATAGCAGCTCCCTCCACGGGGCCATTTTTGGAGGTCTTCAAAAGATGGGGGAGTAACTTCTACTAATGTCTCCCTCCCAGTAGAGACACCAGCTTTGCCCTTGATGCTGTTTCTGAGGGTCCACTGACCCCTAAAAATAAAATGTCAAGCTGTTCATTGGGCTGCAGTGAGAGGGGGTGGCAAGAACGTCCAAGGTCTGCAGATCATTGCATATACATTGTTATTTCAAAATTATATCCTTATTATTAACATATACAGTTGCCAGCTCCTGCCAGTGGGGCTTGTCTCCCTGATCAGCAAAGCATTCTTCCCAGGCCTAGTGCAAGCCTTAAGCCCCAACAGGAAAAAAGACAGGTTTATGCATGACATTTGCTTTCCTGGGGCTTCAATCAACCTGGGAAGGAGGTTATTTTTAACTGGAGAAATAATACAGAGAAAGAGTTCACCCCTGCCCAGCACCATAGCACCAGACGTATTCACTCCCCACCATATTAGTGCCAAATTACACATCTGGCGTTCCAATCACTGAACTCCAGTGTCCTATGAAGTTTGGTCCCCAGACTCCCCAGGCAGTGAGGCAAGGACATACAGCACCCCCAGTGGTGGAGACAGGACACTGCAGAGAAGGAACACAAATACCAGGCGGCTACTGTTCCATTCAGGGAAGGGCCTGCACTTATAAGCCCAGTATAACATCAACAGGCAGCAAAAGTCTGGAATAGCTGCCCTTCTGTTCTGGTGTAGTCACCCCCAACTAGGGTTGCCAGGTCCTTACCTTCTGCCAGCGGGGGACTCCAGCCTGCTCCCCTGGATCTTCTAGCATCAAAAACTGTATTTTAGAGTTTTTAGCCAAATTTTAAGATGCTGAACTGCAGGCTGTGGAAGGTCGGTAGTTCAGCAGTTCAAGACCCGAGTGCCGCATGACGGAGTGAGCTCCCGTCTCTAGTTCCAGCTCCTGCCAACCTAGCAGTTCGAAAGCAAGAAATTGCAAGTAGATAAATAGGTACCCCTTCGGTGGGAAGGTAACAGCGTTCCGTGCGCCTTGGTGTTTAGTCATGCCGGCCATATGACCACAGAAATGTCTTCAGACAGCGCTGGCTCTTCGGCTTTGAAACGGAGATGAGCACCGCAACCCTAGAGTCAGATTCGACTGGCTTTCGAGCAAGGGAAACTTTACCTTTACCTTTAGAGCATCCCCCACGTGATGTGCATGGAGTGATGATGTCACCTCTAGGTGACGTCTTCATGTCAGGCACGTAATGTGTGGCGAGGCTCTTCAGGGGTGGCCCTGAAATTGGAAACCCCGTCCCCATCGGGGGGATGGCAACCCTACCCCCAACATGCCCAGTGGGCATTGTGCCATTGTACACTTGCAACTGGCATCACGGTCTTCCGGATGATCACCATTGCTAGAAATGAAATATGTCTAGCAAAAATATTAAAAATTAAAAGTCTTTTCACTGGCTCCATTCAGTGCCTGATGAGAAAACTGAACCCCCTGGAAAAATATCACTGTAACCCAAGGCATGTGTGTTAAAAGATTATAGAAACATGGAGCAGCCTGCGTGTCAAATGTTTCAAAGGCATTTTTTCAGACCTTAGTAAAGGAGCCTTCCGCTTGATATACACACTCCAGAAGAATCAAATCAGAAAGCTGCCCCCGCCCTTTTAAATCTACAAACAATCAGGCCTGTTATAAGTTTAGAAAATTTTACTATCTGAGACTGAAAACTTCAACAGAGCCCAAACATACATACAGTAAATTCTTCCTTGTGTAGTGAACTTTTGTTATATTTCTAATTTTAACTCCACTCTGTATACAGAGAGGAGTGGGAATGGATCCAAACCCTTTCTGGCTCAGAATCTATGGAAAATATGGATCATTCTGCAGAGTGCCCAACTCGGCTGTTCTTTGAGCTCCAGATGGCAGTGAAAGCTCTCCTTAGGCAGATCAATCTACCTCTACGACAGGTACGAGATGTTGTGTGGTACTTCAAGGAAAGCTCTCTTGGATGTATTTCTGTCAATTATTGTCATTTTGTTTGGAGACTATGAAGCCTAAATATGACTCAGTATATTTGCCTGTAGGATGCTGTTCATTGTGGGGGGGGGCAAGAGGATAGATTACACTTTGTTTGTGTGTGTAAAGTGCCGTCTAGTGGTAGCTAGGGCTGCCAAGCCGTGGCGGGGGATCCGCACGTCTTCACAGGATCCCTGCCGCGGGGGACAGCAATACGCGTTGCACCGCCGTCGCCAGGATGTGACGCATAGCGTCACATCCTGGTGATGGCGGTGCATCGCGTACCACTGTCCCTCGCGGCAGGGATCCTGTGAAGACGTGCGGATCCCCCGCCGCGGCTTGGCAGCCCTAGTGGTAGCCGACTTATAGCAACCCCAGCAAGAGGCTTTCAAGGCAAGTGAGAAACAGAGGTGGTTTGCCATGGCCTTCCTCTGCAGTCTTCCGTAGAGGTCTCCCATCCAAGTACTGCCCAGACTTGGATGACCCAGGCTAGCTCAATCTCTTCAGATCTCAGAAGCTAAAGCATGGTTGGCCTTGGCCAGTATTTGGATGGGCGACTTCCAAGGAATACCAGGGTTGTGATGCAGAGGGCTCAAAAACAAGTCTAGTTCGCCACCTAGTGGTACATAATGCTACAGAGCTAGAACTTCCGGCTGTCAGACAATCTTAGGGTCTCCTGGCTATAACACACAACGCCATATGATAATTAATTAATTCAAGCACTAACCAGCAATTATACTTTACTGATGATTAAATGGACATGTGACAGCAGTGATACCAATTTAATGTGAGGCTAAGCTGCCATTGTAATATTTTCCAAAAATAACATGAGCAGAGATGCTCCCAGCTTCAATCTGAGCCCATTATTTACTTCATTTATATCTTGCCTTTTTCCCCCAGTGGGGACCCACAGCGGCTTATATCATTCTTCGCTCCTCCATTTCTTCCTCATGAGAACCCTGTGAGGTAGGGTAGGCTGAGAGTGTGTGACTAGCTCAAAGTCACCCAGCAAGCCTCCATAGCAGAGTGGGGATTTGAATCTGAGTCTCCCAGATTCTTGTCTGAATTCTAACCACTATACCACACTGGCTGTGTGGTCATTCATTTTAGCCAAGATTTAACTGCTGTCATGACATACCATTAAGGGGTTCAATGGCTGGAAGAATCTTCTATTATCCCCTTCTGAACACGTGCTGAAAGGTAGTTTGATGGTATGTGGGCTGAGGAGGGTTATACAGCGAACTGATTATTTGAGTGATTTGCTGTACATCCAAGTCCTAAGCATTTTGCTGTGTCACTCTTTGAACTCTTTATGGTGCCATGTTTGGTCCTCGCACAGTGAAAAACCAAGACTTGGAATACATGGAGAAAAAAATGGCATCACTGCTTGATCATGCGCCCAGCCCCACAGTAGTCACGTACATATATCTTGAATGGTAAGAATGTCATGGCTGAAGCATCCTCTTGAATTCTCTTGGAATGATAGTGGTCCATTCTATCTTAGTAAAGAATTCTGAAAGTAAATGTAATTTATGAATGAACAGAGACACACGTAGGGATCCCAAGTCCCCCCGGGGACGTGCGCACCAGACGCCGGCCAGGAGCCCCCCGCTCCTGGCGAAGATCCACTTGGCAACCCTAGACACACGGCCTCTACAAACAACATGAAATTAATGGGTAATCGATGTAGGGAACATACGATGTAGGGAGGAAGAACTGGGAACATACACTCTGGGCATGTTCCCACTTCCACACAGCATCTTGGATCCTGATTCCTGCCTAAAATTTCTGTGGACAGAAAGGGGTTTGATATTTTTTTTCTGATTCCCCTTCCAACCATAGACCTGCAAGTCCCCACCACCACCACTTCACTTCCCCCTTCCACACACTGATTTTCCATGTACTTTGTGTCAACTGCACAGGGTGATCTTGATACAGAGACCAGATACGAAGACTTTGCTTAAAGTATCCTGGATCATTTTACCTTTTTATGTGCAATAATGTGCAGTCCACTTCTTAAGGATTCCAAAGCAGTTTACCGAAAATATATATTTAAAAATAAGGTTACGGTAATAACATGAAAACAAATGAAACTATGTTGCACTATAGTAGCGGCAGTTTCAAAAAGCTGAGAAGGCTGGGCAAGCTGGTCCCCAAAAGATAGCCATTAAACAACTGTTAAATTAAAAACGTTTTCATATTTTTCAAAAATTTCATGGAGCAAATCTCATTGGGTTGGGTTCTGGGGACACGACCAAAAAGGCCATGTTACACATGGAGACCAATCTGGATGCTTTCTGGAATGGAATTCTTGACTATACCATCTGTGTGCAAAACTTCACTGGCAAAAAAAGAAGAAGAAATGTTGAGAGAAATTCTTGGAAAGTTTTTCAGAATGTGGAATTCCCATAGTCAAGTTTGAATGGTTTTCCACAAGTAGATCTTTTTAAAAGAGCCCTCTTCTTGTCTAGTGAGGCTTCTCAACTGGTAGATGCTGGGGGTTTTTTTTCAGACTCTAGTTATTGTGAAACTAGTTGCCGTCTGTATTTATTGTTAGGATTATTTCATGTTTCTCTTTGTATTTAATTCTGTTGCATTGTAGTTTATTTTCATCAATTTGTGGAATGCCATGAAAACCCATAGGTGGACTTAAGGTTTGGCTAGAGATTTGAAAAGAAATCTCAATAAAAAGAGTTGCTGTTTTATTATGTTTTCAACCCTTATTTCTCCATACATTCCACAGTACATGAATATTTTCTTAATCCAAATGAAGTTGGATTTATTTTAAATAGGCTGTGATTTTTGTTTAAAAGATTGCTTTAGAAAATTATGCTATCCTAAACTGCATATGTACTTATTCAAAGTCCCCCCTCCTCTTCTACTAAAGATGTACAGTTAGATAATTAGCTACAAAAATCCCAACCAAATCCACAATTTTCTTTGATGTTTGATACTCTGCATCCATTTGCTGAACATTTTGGCATTCAGTAATCTTTGGAATCTTTGGCTAAGACGCTGAGGTTAAGGTTAAGACGGCTATACTGCAGGCTGTGGAAGGTCAGTAGTTCAGCAGTTCGAGACCTGAGTGTGCCGCATGACGGAGTGAGCTCCCGTCTCTAGTTCCAGCTCCTGCCAACCTAGCAGTTCAAAAGCAAGAAATTGCAAGTAGATAAATAGGTACCACTTTGGTGGGAAGGTAACAGCATTCCATGTGCCTCAGCATCACGGAGAAGTCTTCAGACAGTGCTGGCTCTTCGGCTTGGAAACGGAGATGAGCACCACCTCCTAGAGTCGGATTCAACTGGCTTTTGAGCAAGGGAAACTTTTATTTAATCTTTGGAAGTAGCCATTATTCTGGTGCCTCATTGTGTATTTTTCATACTTGCTGAAGGCAAAGGCAGTTAGAAGGGTTGCCATATGGGATTGCTAACATTCTGCTGATTGTTCCATTGAAAACAATACTCTCATATCGTTTGAACAAGGCTACTTTTCAGAAGCAGTAAGCTGCCCAGACTTATGGATGTCATAGAATCATTGAGCTGGAAGGAGCCAAAGAGGCCATCTAGTCCAATCTCCTGATCAATGCAGGTTCGGCCTAAAGCATCCCTGACAACTGTTTGTCCAGCTGCTGCTTGAAGACTGGCAGTGAGAGGGTCACCACCTCCCTAGGCAGCCAATTCCACTGCTCAACTTGTTGTTGTTCAGTCGCACAGTCAAGTCCGACTCTTCGCGACCCCATGGACCAGCTCCCGCCAGGCCCTCCTGTCTTCCGCCATCCTCTGAACTACTCTTACTGTAAAAAAAAAAATTCCTAATACCCAGCTGTAATTTAAACCCACTATTGTGAGTCCTGTCGTCTGCTGCCAACAGGAACAGTTCCCTGCCCTCCTCTAAGTGACAGCCCTTCAAATAGTTCAAGAGAGCAATCATGTCCCCACTCAGCCTCCTCTTCTCTAGACTGAACATTCCCAAGTCCCTCATCCTTTCCTCATAGGGCTTGGTCTCCAGGCCCCTGATCATCTTTGTTGCCTTCCTCTGTACCCACTCCATTTTGTCCATATCCCTTTTGAAGTGAGGCCTCCAGAACTGCACACAATACTCCAGGTGCAGCCTGACCAATGCAGTGTACAGTGGAACTATGACATCTTGCAATTTGGATGTTATGCTTCTGTTGATACACCCCAAGACCACTGTAGCCTTTTTTGCTGCTGCATCACACTGACTACTCATATTTAGCTTACAGTCCACCCGTACCTCGAGATCTTGTTCATACACACTGCTACCTAGAAGCATGTTCCCCATCCAGTATGCATGTTCCTCATTGTTGTTACCCAGATGTAGAACTCGGCACTTATCCTTGTTAAATTGCATCTTGTTCACATCCGCACACTTTCCCAGTGTGTTTAGATCTCATTGAACTCTCTCTCTGTCTTCTGGTGTGTTCGCTGCTCCTCCCAATTTAGTGTCATCTGCAAATTTAATGAGTAGCCCCTCCACATCCTCATCCAGATCATTATAAAAATATTGAAAAGTACCAGGCCTAGAACCAAGCCCTGTAGCACCCCACTGGACACCTCCCTCCATTCAGATGAAATGCCATTGACAACTAATCTTTGAGTGCAATTCTCCAACCAGTTCCCTATCCACCTAAATATCCTAGAGTCCAGTCTGCAGTTCTCCAGTTTACCCATCAGAATGACAGAACCCTGTCAAAAGCTTTACTGAAATCCAAGTAAACAATGTTGACGACATTCCCACAATCCAGTAAACTCATCACTCAGTCAAAGAAGAGAATGAGATTGGTGTGACAGGACCTGTTGGGAACAAACCCATGCTGGCTTCTCCGGGCCACCAAGTTGTCCTTCAGATGCTCACAGATTGACCCCTTTAAAATCTGCTCCAGTATTTTCCCTGGAACAGAGGTCAGACTGACTGGCCTGTAGTTTCCTAGGTCATCTTTCTTCTCTTTTTTGAACATTGGGATAGCATTTGTCCTCCTCCTGCCTTGTGGCACATCTCCTGTCCTCCAAGAGATCTTGAAGATGATGGACAAGCTCTAGAAAGTTCTTTGAGCTCTCTCTCACCCCACAGCAAAAAAGAATTCTAGGAGGGACATGGTCACTTCCCCCTAAGCTCCTCACCACCACCTTCACCCCATCTATCAATTCTTGCTTGTTGGTTAATATTAAGTTGAGTATGGCCAAGCCACTTGTAGCTTCCTCCATCATTTGAAAAAGGAAGTTGTCAGGCAGGTCAGGAAGTTGCACGACTGTGGACGCTTAGCAGAGTTTGTCTCCCAGCACACATCAGGGAAGATGAAGTCACCCATAACTACAAAGTCCTGTTGCTTGGATACACTGTCAGGCTGCTCAAGGAGGGCAGCATCCACCTCCTGATCCTGGTCACGTGATCTGTAGCAGGCTCCAACCACAATACTGTGTATCCTTCCCTCCCTTATCCTTACCCAGATACTTTCCACTGGGTTGTCACCCACCTCCTCCAGTATTTCCTGACAAGCAAACCCTCTCCTCACATATAGCACCACTCTGTCTCCTCTTTGACCCTTTTGTTTTTTCTTGAACAGCTCATATCCACCCACTACTACATTCCAGTCATGGGAATTGTCAGGTCCCGCCTCCTGCCCCTGGGGGCTTCCACCGGTTGCTGTTGCGCCGCTCCCCTCAGGTGGTTCTCGCAGCCGAATCCACAGGTCCCAATGGGGGGGGGGCGCTACAGGACCTCAGAATGGCAGGGGGACGGGGTTAACAACACCCAGGTCACCCCTCTGCCTCCACGTCAGTCAGCTCTCACTCTCTCTGAGCCTTCCGACTCCCGCAGATGCTCATTCCCAGTCTGTGCTGCCTTTCCCCCTTTTATTGTCTGGTTTCACTCCCAGAACTACCTCCGCTCCCCGGGCTTTGCCCCACCTTCCGGCCCCGCCCTTCCATCCAGTCGCCGGGACCGCTGGGCAGGCCCTCCCAGCTCCCAGGCCTCCCGTGTCAGCGTCGTCGTCTGTACTGCGTCCGTCTTCCTCGGTATCCCTCGGCAGGTGGTCTCTCTGCCAGCCGCCTGGCGATCCTTCCTTTGGACCCCGGCGAAGCCTGTGAGGCCATGGCTGGGCTTGTCGCGGGGTGCTCCCTCCTTTCCCCGCAAAGGGGCCGGTTTGCCTATCGCCTTCAGGGCCTGCCATGGGCTAGGACGTCTCCCTGGGCTGCTTTCCTGCCACCCCTTCTGGTAAGTGGGGGCACTGGCTGACAGCTGGGGGGGGGCAGGCTAGTCCCGGCCTGTCAGAGGTGGGATAGGAATCATCCCCCCAAGTCTTTGTGATTCCTACTAAATCATATCCTTCTGTCTGTGTTGGAGGCTCAAGCTCTTCCTTCTTATTGACCAAGCTTTGGGCATTGGTACAAAGGCGCCTGAAGCCCCACATCTTTGGCTTCATTTTACCTGGCCTTCCCAAGTGGGCCTCTGCTGCTTGCTCTCCTTCATTGAAAGCCCTGTGTTGGTTGTCTCCTTCTGCTTGTGGTGTCAGTTTAAAGCCCTCCTGATGAAACTCCCCAGGTTCCTGCCAAACACATTCTTCCCCAATCTTGGTATGTTCTTGAGACATAATCTGAAACATGAGCATACTCTTACGATGTAGCTCCTAGGGTTGCCAACCTCCAGTTGAGTGTTGAGATAGGGTTACCGATCCCCAGGTGGTGACTGGAGATCTCCTGGGATTACAACTGATTTCTAGGTGATGGAGATCAGTTTACCTCAACTAAATGGCCACTTTGGAAGGTGGACTCTTTCGCATTATACACCACTGAAGTCTTTGGCATTATATACCGCTCTCCTCCCCAAACCCTGCCCTGCACAGGCTCCAACTACAAAATCTCCAGGTACTTCCCAATCCAGAGCCTGCAACCCTAGCTGGAGATCTCCCAGAATTACAACTGATCTCCAGACAACAGATCTCCCCTGGAGAAAATAGCTGCTGCGGATGGTAGACTCCCCTTCCCAAACCCCACCCTCCACAGGCTCCACCCCCAAATCTCCAGGGGCTTCCCAAGCAGGAAGTGGCAACTCTAGCACCCCTGACCATCACTTCTATTACATTTCTCTTGCGTAAGCAGATGTAGAAGCATGGGCTATTTTAAGGTTTTGCATGGTTTTTAACATGGCAGGGCCAAATTGGAGGGTACTTGGCTCCCCACTGAGCCATATATTGGAGTACTACATTTGTCGATGCATTTTTTAAAAAAATAATTTTTATTAGCATTTCAACAGAATATACAAGAATGAAGTGATAGCAGTGCAGCTTACAAACAGGGTAATTTGACATAGTGCATTGTTACGTTCACATAAACTGTGTTCTGAAGCATGCTTTGTTTGGGATGCATTAGTGCTTTCAAATGTACAGCATTGGGGTTTTTCCCTACTATAGGACTACTGATCTTGCGTAGCTTCCAAGATCTTAATCTTGAAATAAGGGCCATCCTTTTCAAAAAAAGAGTATCCACAGCCAAAACTGATTACATATCCGTTTGAGATGAGATTAGATCTTAATCAAATATGCACTGTGGAACCATTTGAAACTTTTAAAAACATGTATGCCTTGTTAAATCTTTTTCATTGCCCCATTTGGTGACAGCCAGAGGAGGGGGGGGGGCGCTGACAAAAAAGCTGCATAGTTTCGCTAACCACTCTTAAATTGAATGTTAAAGGTTTTTAATTGAATTCACATATTTTCACATAATTATACAATCATAATCTTGAAACGCCCATGGAGTGTGATCGTTTTCTGGTTAATAAGAAACATAAATGTTATTTTCAGGAGGAGGGTTAAGGGGTTGTATGTGTGTGTTTTTAATGTGGAACGTTAAGTCCTTTAAATCTTTATTTTATGAAGCAAAATCCACACACATACAAACACACACACCCATTTATGTTTTATAAAAAATGCCAAACCTGATGTTGTGCAACTTTGCTGTAATGTTTGATACCATTGGGGGGGGTTGTTTATATAAGTCCCATGTTGTAACTCTCTTCTCCCCTCCCCCTTCCCCCCATTTCTTCTCTGTGCGTGTCCCTCTGCAGGCGAAGCTCTTCCGTCTGTATACACAGGAGGTGTTGGAACTGGGTCACAATGTGTCCTTTCTTCTCCTGCTCCCAGCCTCAGACGACGTCTGCACTGCCCCAGGACAGAATAACCCTTACACCCTGCACTCAGGATTCCTTAACCTCCCTCTTCAGATGTTTGAACTCGGTATACTACCTTGCTTCACCTAGAAATATTAACCCAGTCGCTTTATAATAAAATCACAAAGTTGTATCTGTTCCCCCTCCAGCCTTTGCCTCTCCCCCCACCCCTCATCCCAGTGGAGAGTCAATAAATCACGTGATGATTTCTTGGCAACAACATTTTCTCTGACTACAGACAAGTAATAGAGAGAGCATAGCTACTAGGTTACATGCTCTGGTCATAACTATTGGAATGCAAAAGCCCCAGAGTGGAGTCAGTCCACAAGTTATCAAGCAACACAGCCCCTTAGTGTAGCACGGGGAGTGCTCAAATGGACAATTCAGACACATTCAGTGAAAGCAAAATGATTCAAACTGTCTTGCTGTAGTTTGCAAAATTTGTGGAGAGTGACACTTTTCTTGCACTGGTCACCCATATCCAGCATAGTAGAGTGGTTAGGATGTTGGGCTAAAAGTGTTATCATAAGCAGGTTCACTCCAGATCCTACTTACGTCTATTCATTGGGGCTTAGGCCTGGGAAAGGGTTCCAAGGAGTGTACTGTAGGAGACCCAGGATCTAGGTCAGTCATGAACCTCACAGGGTAGACAAACATTTTCTGTCAACCCATTATTTGAATGTGTGTGTGATTAAAGTGCCGTCAAGTCGCAGTTGACCTATGGCGACCCCAGCAAGGGGCTTTCAAGGCAAGGGAGACGCAGAGGTGGCTTGCCATTGTCTTCCACTGCAGAGTCTTCCTTGGTGGTCTCCCTTTCAACTACTGATCTTGCTTAGCTTCCGAGATCTGATGAGCTATACCAGTCTTTCTTCCCACCCAGTTATTTGACTACAGAAATGAAATTAGTTTTTTCAGAGGAGGGAATTTCTCAGAATTAAATTCTGTTAATTTGACTTTGCAAAATCTGGAATTAGCAGCCTCCTAATTTGATTTTTTTTTAAAAAAATCAGTATTTCAGTGATGGATCCTGCATGGGAAAGTCTGTCAGTGAACCATTTTTGCCAATAATGTTTTAGCAGCAGATTTCACACTGAAAGGGTTTTTATAAAATAAAATTTGAATTTCAAATTTCAAAATATTTTTAATTCCATTTTCACCAAATTCCAGTTTTCACTAACATCTTTGCTCTGTTTTGAAAAGTGCTTCACACTTGGAAAAGTGCTGAGTAAAACTACCATGAAATTGCCAGATTCTCCCTGGACAGCCACAAACAATATTGACAGCCCGCAACATAAATAAGAGCTTAAAATCCAAAGGTCTTCCAGTGTGCTATTAATTTGAAATGGGATCCCCATTGGGGATAAAGGTGGGTTATAAATGAAGTAAATCAATAAAAATAGCTGAAAATGGGGGGGGTTTTAAAATGTCAGTTCTTTGGTGGCAGGAAAAGGAAAAGTAACCATGGAAAGGATATGGTGTGTGTCTGCCAGGAGGCGAGAAAGAGGAAATAGTGGAGGAGGGGGTGCAGAGGAAAAGGAAATGCCCCCCACAAGTTCTTGTGGATCCTCCATTTGTCTTAACCAGTTAATGGCCAATTCCATTGAAAAGCTTGGAAGCTTTCAAAGGCTTCTGTCAGCTGCTGAGCTGGGTGGAGGGTGGAGTTTATTCACTAAGGCTTTTCTCAGTCCCTGTCTCTGGTCCTATGTAGGAAAGTATCTTTTTCAAGCAGGTGCAAAGGGCAAAGGCTGGTCCTGCATCAATAATGCTTTTGATACATGACTGTTATGCAGATTACATATGTGGTCATGCATGGCACGTGTAACCAATCCTCAGATTTGCACTGGCACAGGCCATGCTATACAGTGCTATATATTTATTTAAATCCCATTTTCACTCTTCCTCAACTCTGATACCACCCTGCCACCAACTCTATTTCACCATTACCTTCCTCAGCCTTTCAGTAGTTGAAATGTTTGTGGACATTCAGGACAGGGTGGGCATGCCTTGCAGTTAATAGCAATCTTGGGCATATACTTTATATTATAAGGGATCCATGCCAAAGTCATTTCCCAAAATCATTCCTTTATGCCACAACTCTCTTATCAGGTCTTTCCTTGGCAACTTGATTACTTCATATGAATGATGTTTAAACTGACTTTCCCAGGGTCCTGTGTATGGGGTGAAGAACAGCAATGTCGCAATGAAATTACTAGTCTCACATGTTTAAAAGTCACAAGTTCAGCCTTATAATTGCTCTTGTTTCCCCAGGATTTAACACGCAGGACAAGAATCTTTTCCTTAAAAGACAATTTAGCTATTGTCACATTCTCATAGGCTTGTCACCTGTTCCTTATTTCAAGGGATGCCTCCTTATTCGGTGTTAATAGAAATGGAAAAGAATAGATGAGCCTTAACTGCAAAATACACCTTTAATTTCATACATTACAAGGATGGCGTACTGTCTCTCGGTATGTTAAGCACCATCAAGTCACTTATGACTTACGAGTTGTGATCAGACGTGCCTTTAGATCCAACATAGCTGTGAATGCCTGATGGATCTGAAGGGGGCACGATCGGACAGCAACATCTGGGAATGGCCCCACAGTCAGCACCCCATGTTGCCCTACCACAGAAACAGAGTTAAAAGACACCAGGAAAAGTCCGGTCCTAACACTTGTCGAAGGGCCATGGACAGATTTCCCCTAGTCTGATCACTCAAGCCATCAGGATGGTCTGCTCATTTCATCCTGACTCGGTGCCATTTCCCCCCCTCACTTAGCAGTATGTGCATAACCACATACTCCATGGGGAACCCTCTGTGCGGAGGTTCGATTCCTTGTCTGTGCATGGTGCGGGAGAGGAAAAAATCCCACTTGCCCGAGGTGGCATCTGATCATGCAGTGATGGGCTGAGCCTGCAGCAGAAAGGGAGGTGTGACCGCGTAACTGCGAGTCAAATTCCTCTGGAGGAAATAGGGGCACTTACACACACACCATGCCAAATGGCATGTCTGACTGCAGCCATGGTGATCCTATGAATTAATTATCTCCAAAACATCCTATCGTGAACAGCCTGGCTCAGGTCTTGGGTCTTCCCCTTCTCCTGATGCTTTCTAGCATTATTGTCTTTTCCAGTGACTCTTGTCTTCTCATAAGGTGACCAAAGCACAATAGCCTCGTTTTAGTCATTTGAGCTTTTAGGAAGAGTTCAGGGTTGATTTGATCTAGAACTGACTTATTTGTCTTTTTGTCAGTCCACGATATCTTTAAAACCTCTTCCAACACCACATTTCAAATGAATCAACTTTCTTCCTGTCAGCTTTCTTCATTGTCCAGCTTTCACACCCATACATAGTTATACTATGGCACAAATTTATTTGATCTTGGTAGCCAGCGACACTTCCTTACATTTAAGAATCTTTTTCTACTTCATGGCTCCCCTTCCCAGTCTCAGTTTCCTTCTGATTTCTTGACTGCAGTCTCCCTCTAATTCTAACAGGGGACTATTAATGTTCCAACAGACATTAAATGTCATTCCCCTACAGTCTTGCACTGTGTTCCTCATTGTGGAGCTCCTCTTTTATCCCTATTATATGTTCATATGATGCTGCCTTATGGTGATTCAGACCATTGACCCAAGTAGCTCTCTATTGTCTAATCTGATGGACATTTTGTCTCCAGGGTCTGAAGCAGATCTCTTTCCATGATACCTCCTGGCTCTTACAGGCGGACCCTTTTAATTTGGCACTTCTTTCATTGTCTCTGTAAAATATAGGGCTGCCAAGTGGGGGCGGGGGGCGGGTAAACCCCCGCTTCGGAGGCCCGATTTCCACCGCCGCTGAATCGGGCCCCAGGGGGAACTCCGCCCCCCGAAGCGCAGAGGTGACGCAACCACGTAAATCACGTTGGGGGCGTGGCCCCGATCGTCGGAGGAAAAACTCTATGGTTTTCCCTCCGACGATCGGGGCCACGCCTTCAACGTGATCGACGTCGCACATCACTTCCAGTGATGTCGAAGGATGGCTCCCGGAGCCCGGCGAGGCTCCCCCGCCGGTAAGATATTTTGACTTGGCAACCCTAGTAAAATATTGATACATTTGATTCCCATCACTTAAGCACGGGTCACACAAAAAGTATGTCAAGAAATGCTGTGGTTTGAACCCTAGGGATGCAAAGCGTGTGCTCAGTGATTGAACTCTGGGCCCTCCTGAGCCCTAGTAGTGGATGCTGCAAGAAAACCCAGAGCTTCCAATAAATTCACACAGAGATTTAACATTAGCCGCTGATTAGAACAGGCAGCATCCCATTCTTTAGACTATCCAGCATCCTCTGAGACAGTAGTGCGCTACAGCTTGTTGTAGAGGATTCAGCAGACTTTGCCCATTTGTCTCAATGCAGTGAATTTACGGTGTGGGTTGGTGCAGTACTGTGAGGAGCATTCCAATAAAAGCTCATTTTTACTTCCCCAGTGAACAATAACTGATGTCATGCCCTAGAGCAGGGGCCATTTTCTGTCTGATTTATTGTACCCTTCTCCCCAGTGCCCATAAAATGGCTGTGATTCACCTCCTAAATATTGGAAGCTTCCATTCCCTGTTAGCCGGTGGCTACCGGATCTCTAATTGTGAAACCACAAAAGGCTACGTTGAAGTAACATTTGTTGCAGCAACATTTAGGGCCTGGCTACCAATCATAGTGGCTAGAAGCTTCAGCAGAAACCACAGCTGTAATTCACAGAGTGCTATATACATATGGTACAAGTTGTAAGACCACATGCTGGTCAAAGACCTCTACGGAATCTAGACCTGTTGTATGCATTTCCAGCTGTTCACAGGGCTTAAGAGATCAGCCTATTAGTGATCTGCTGACAAAAAGACCTGGCTTGGTTTCATGTTATAATAGACTTTATTACTAGAAAGGGATATGAAGAGTGCCCTCCTTAAGGACCTATTTAGGTTAGAGGTAAATAATACAGTTTAAGAGAGTTGAAAGTAATTTAAGAGCTCTTTAATTCCCAGGCAACACACACATATTTTGTTGGACCTGCTGAAGTCTCCGGGCAAACAGGTTCTGCAGGGCTTTTGAAACAACATAAAACCCTGCAAAACATGTTTGTCAAAGGTAAATGTGAGGTTAATATACACAATCCCTCTTTCATACTATGTTCAGCACTCTGAAAACAGGGATGTAGGGCCAGTTTTTTGGCTTGGTTTTGTCTTCTGTATTTTTAAAATTAGGTTTCTTTATTGTACTTATGCTTTTGGGGAGTCTTTGTTTTTTGTTTGTTAATTCATTCCCATTGGTTTCAATACAAAACAAATTTTTACCTGTTAACTTTTAGATTTTCCATCCAACTGGAATGGAATTTTCAGAAATTATACACTTCACCCACAGGATCCTCTCTGCTACATTTTAGGCACATGAGAGAAATGTCCCTGTTCTATAAGCAGCTGAAATTTTCACTTGTACAGCAGACTCAAGGAGACATGAATTGTTGTGGAAATGAATTTTTCCTCTCCCCCGCCGATCCTCAAATACAGTGTGTGTGTGTGTGTGTGTGTGTGTATTTTTAAAAACAAAAACAGAGCATGCAAAACAGGGGAGCAAAATCCTTCCCCCCTTTTCCTGGCTTACTTCTCTTAATTCAGTTGTTTTCAGCATTTTTTCTCCAACCTGGCAAACTTCCAGAGTTGAAATTTAGCCTGGAAGAAAATGCTTCAAGCTTTGGAGTAAGGTTTAGCTCCCCTTGCCCATACAGCCCAGTTTCATTTTAAGAGACTCTCATCACTACTGCTTTTACATATGAAGCAGGAGGGTACCTGTCTTTTTTTCATATATAAAGACAGGTATGTGGGGGATTTGTATCAGGGAAAGCTGCACCTGATTTTACATCAATTTAAAGATGTGGAGAGATCTCAGAGCCTGAATCAGTGGGTAGTATCCTATGTTTGGATGAAGTTCCTAAGCCTAAGAGCCTTGCTCCAGCCTAAGGAGATTTCCTCCGACTTAAGTGGATCTTCCTTAGGAGTAAAAAAAATCACTTGTTGGAGGAAAGCTCCAAATTTGCTTAGAGACATGGTATGATACAGGCCAGTGATTTCTCTCACAATCAGACAAGAACCTGATCTCTTGCATCTCATCTTGTTTGGCATATAAATATATGCTTCTGCCTCTGTTTCCCCTTGCTTAGGACTACAAAGCTATTGCCTTTAGCAAACTATTGCCATTATCTCTCTTTCTCCCCCCATCCTATCTATAGCCCTTCCTGTCCGCCAGCTAACACAAGCAAAGGATTTGCTTGAATTGTCCTTTACACAGAACAAAGTTTGAGTCCAGTGGCACCTTTAAAACTAACAAAGTTTTATTCAAGGTGTAAGCTTTCATGTGCAAGCATACTTCTTCAGATACAGTGAAACAGACTTTCCTCAACCATTACATATAGGCAGTAGTTGCCAGGAATTACAACCCTAGCCCTACTGCCGTACATTATATGGAAATTGGAACAGTGCTTGAGATGCTGAGTGGTAGTGAAGTGTGAAGAGAAAAAAACATCCCCCCCCCAAAACAAGGTTACACATCTGGAAAGGCTGTCTGAACAAAGTGGCATGAACACAAAGAGAGGCAGACTTTCAATCAAGTTCTTGTGCCTTCCAGTTCAGTTCTACTCCCCATGACCCAAAAAGCAATTGGTTAATTAGAATAAAGAATAACAGCACTAGGTAAAACAGTGGAGGTTTGTTTTGTTTTGTTTTTTAAAGGTCCGTTTCTGCAGATATTCTAGAAGTCTGAATTTTTGAACTGCATGGAGCGTTACTTCAGGAACAATGGGAAGGGAGTTTTTTTAAAAATACATATCTTTGAAGTGTTAGTAACAGAGGTCATTTCGGGGGGGAACGCAGTTCCCCCGGGTGAGGTGCAGGAGGGCGGGGCACATGACGAAGCCCCGCCCCCTGCTTCCGGCCACCCCGCTTCCAGCCCTCATTCAACCAGGAGGAGGCAGGAGAAGAGGGAGGGTAAGTTGCTTCCTCCCCGCCTCTCCCCACCCCTGCCTGCCTGGGGCCAGGGAGGGCCTTGGCGGGGCTTCCTCGCACTCCCGCTGGCCTTGCAGGTCCACCGCCGGGCCCCTGATGTCAGGGGGTGTGGCATATGCTAATGAGTTATGCTAATGAGTTCCCCTAGCTCTTTTTCTACGAAATGACCCCTGGTTAGTAATATTTTAAATCTTGCTCCTAACTGCAGTGATATTGAATGTGTAGGAGGGGCGTTACCATGTGAACCTAAGCCATGGTCACTGATTGAAGCTTCCTTAAGCTGGAACAATACTGAATGGAAGGATGATCCACCAACACCATGAGTGATTTCACCATCACACATATCTGGAGTTGAGTCTATTGTACATCATATGTGCAACTGACCAATATATTGTGCCCAGTAGTTGCTCATATAGAAGCATCAGGTGCATTTATGGAAGCTATAGATTTATTTTAGCATAGACCAAATTCAGGTTCTTTCACATACTAATCTACCTTCTATATGAATGACCTCCGTTGAAACACTGTGTTTGGAATGAAAAGCTCTGACATACTGAAGCTATGATGAGCATTCCACACATGCAGTTCTTCACTTGATGTTATATCGAGTGATAAACATGCAGGTGTGACACATTCTGAAACAAAGTGCTAGGGAGCAACATCAGAGGAGGGCCTTTGCCTCTGTGCCCTGTTTATTGGCCCTGCAGTGTACTTGGCTGTGTGAAATAGACTGCTGGGCCGTTGGTCTGACACAGCAAGGCTCTTCTTATGTTCTCCCCCTCTCTTTATCATTTCATCTTGTAGGAAGGTTTCTGTGTAAATCTGAAGCTTGCACACTCTTTACATCAGCAAAATTCAGCTCGCCTTTACCAGTTTTTTAAAGTCTAACAAATGTATTGTGGTATACATTTTGGGGGAGACTAGAACCCACTTTGTCTGATGCAGGAGGCTCAATATCTTGGACCCCAAAATATATACAAGATAAGAACAAAAGGCTGCATTCATATGTCATGTTGGACGGTTATTAACTGTGAATGTACAGGAACCCAACCTGATGCTTAGCATATGCGTGAGGATCCCAGATCCAAGCTTTGTGCTCTGTAAAGTGTAAAGCGACCAGTTCTATACTTGTATATTATGATATTTGTTTCTGTTTCATTGCCTTCTCTTTTGCTTGTTTTGCTTGCAGTAGACTAACCTCTGAGACTATCTGTATTTTGTAACTCTTGTGTTCTGGCTCCACCACAGCTATGGCAACTGCTCTGTATGCAGCTCCCCCAAAAGGTAGCAGCTTCTGAGACTTGCACGTCTAACACACTCGCTTCTGTGCTTTGTTGTCTCCGCAGTTCATTTTTGCAGTTACAAGGAGAAATTTATTGGTCTGTATTGCCGCCTTTCTGCTGTCATAGAGCTGGATTTTCTGAGCACCCAGCAGTCCCTAAGGGAAGCAATTTCAGACAGTGAAGTCGCTGCTGCTAAACAAAGACACCAGCAAGTCCTAGATTACATACAGGTAAGCGTCTGTTTTCTGACTAGTCAAAGGTGATTTCTAGCAGGGGCTGTAATTTGGAACCTAAATGGAGAATTGTTGGGCAAGACGCAGCATAAAGACGCTTAGTGTCAAAATACAATTTGGGTTTTATGAAATAGCCACTCTGCAGCTCTTCCACCACCACCCCCTCCATGGTAGCTTGCTTTCTGTGAGAATTTCATGGATAAAATCATATGACAGTTATACTGGAGTGTTGTAGAGAAATGTGTCAGCTTGGGTTATAAATCCCATTCCCCTTCTAATATGAGCGAAAACTGTGTGGTGCAATTTAGTCTGGATCAGCCTTGTACTTGTAAGTCAAAGTACTTTTTTCTTCCTGTCAATCAACACTGGGGGGGGGGAATGCCCCAGACCACTCTGCTTCTTTTGACAGAGGTGGTCATACCATGAAGCAATGTGAAGCAGCTACTTTAGACAGCAAAGCTTCAGGAGGCAGAATGAGAGACAAACCAGACATGGTAGGGTAGGGATATGGTCCAGCCAGGAATGTTTTCTGCATGGGCCACCTTATTGAACAAACATGTTCTTGCACAGTTCCCATTCAGATCTATGGGGTTTGTGTCCTGATGGGAATTTAGGAAGATCCTCCAGTTTCCTCAAAGAACTTATCCCAGCTGTGGGAAGGAACTCAACAGATTTATGTACAAATCATTGAACTTGGGCCTAGAGCACATTTTTTGCACGTGGACGGTCTCAGGTTCAGTCCCTATAACCTCTACCTCTGCTAGAAAATTCAAGGAAAGTCTGAGGGCTTCTGATCATACTGAGCTACATGGACTAGTGGCTCACCTTAGAATAAGGCATCTTCATATGTTTACATGATGACTTTGTAAAACTGGAGTAACCCTCACCACCCACAGAGCCAGTTGGGTATAATGGATAAGAGCAGTGGACTCTAATCTGGAGAACCAGGTTTGATTTCCCCACTTCTCCACTTGCAGCCAGCTAGGTGACCTTGGGTCAGTCACAGTTCTCTCAGAGCTGTTCTCTCCAGAGCAGTTCTTTCAGAGCTCTCTCAGCCCCACCTACCTCACAGGTGTCTGTTGTGGGGAGAGGAAGGGAAGGAGATTGTAAGCCACTCTGAGACTCTGAGTGAAGGGCAGGGTATAAATACAATCTCCTCCTCCTTTTTTTCCTTTTTGCTATGAATGGCCTTTCTGCCCCATGGACTTTCCATATACAAGATGTCATGCTTGCCAACCAACAGACAGCTCTCTAAACTGGAGTCAGACAAGTGGGTATTGCCCAGTAGCTTAAAGGGTAGCTGTAACCACATGGAGGAAGTCAGATGTCATGATTAAGTCCAGAATTTGCTGTCTTCTGTAGCTGTGTAGAAACCCAGGGAATTACAATGGGTGTATTCATGTGGGGCAGTCTACCCATATGGTTACAGGTTCAACACAGCCAGTTTGTAAAATGTCAGAGGTTCACTGAATTCAAGCCAGTATATCCTAGTCAAGTCTTTCATCCAAATGGCCTCCAGAAATGGTTAAATATTTTGATAAAGAAACACTTGTATTTGTTTTTGCCTGTTCAAACAAAGCTTAGATCAGTGAGAACTGGCCTGGCATCCTACCACTAAGCTCACACAATGCCTATATGAGTATATCCTACCACATTGTCATCTGTGCAGAGAGCAGCACACGAATCTAAGGCATGACCGTCCGTGTTGAATATGAATTGGTTCAAGCAGAGTTTGTGCACTGGATCTTTGCCAATTCTGTTTCCCACTGTAGCCACTCCTGAAGGTCCAAGGACCCACAGAAACGGGTGTGAGATAGGGGGCTGCAATGGGAAGGAAGATTTCCATCTCTTTTTAATGGAAAAAAATACTTTCCCCTCTCCTGCTTCTTTGTCTTAAATTGTCCTCTTCTCAATCAACGTCAACTAACAAAGCAAAACAAACAAACAAAAAAGCTGCTGTCTTTGTATCACATGCATTGGCACATTCCTCCAGTTCTGCCTTCAGGAGTATACTATTCTAGTACTCTAAAGTCTGTCACCTTCTGCAATGATGGTTATAGCCTTTTAATGCTTCGGATACCCTGGGCACTTCTCTGCAAAGTCTTATCTTTAATGAAAAGACTGAAAACACTCTGTGAGTGGTACGTTCAGTGCACCAACATCATGAGAACATCACCAAGGGCAAACGTAGGCATTCTCTGTACCTGCTCCGCCTCTCTGGAATTTCCCTCCTTTGGAGGCTTGTTAAGAGTAAAAGCAAAGAATACTTTTGAAGCAAGGTGAAAAAGTCTTAATATCTACAGCTGACATTCAGAAATCCAGTATGGAAGACCCAGGCTCATACCATGCATGGGCTGCTCTTTTATGATGCAGAATGGATTCATAATTCCTATACTCAACTTTTTGTTTTCAAAAAGGGACCAGATGAAGCCTTGTACATACTGAATGACATCCATCATTACAAATCATCTTACATATATAAGCATGTGTCTGATGATGTCCAACAACACGTTTTGGCTTTTGAGTCAGCCGTTGTGGAGACTTGCGTACCTTTTAAAAATACTGGGAAGCTAAGCCCTCAGATCTCCCATTGTCACACCTGTTAAGAGAGGCACATAGCTGATTGTATGCAAATTTGTTATTATTCCAAAAATAACTTAGCCCAACCTCAACATGCAGAAATTGGTCCAATATTTACGAGATTAGGAAGCTTGCATGCACTCTAGAAGGTCGCAGAATACAGGCTTTTGCTGAACATGATCTATAGGGACATAGGAACATGGCAAAGAAAGAATACCTTACGAAGTTCCACAAAAGGGTCTCAGTCTAAACTTCTTGGGAAAGAGAGACACGTGGTCTGTAGATTTTGTGACTGTTTGTATCCAATGAAAAATGTAGCAGACTTTTCAACCACCGTGTTTTGTACCGAATTATTGTGACAGTGTATTAGACTTGTCAGGTTCCCTCTCAAATTGAAACCAGCTGTATTCCACCTATTGGCAAAAAAAAAAAAGTCTCAGCCCACCACATACCGCAATCTTCAGGAATGACCGCAAAACCACAAGAGCATTTGTATGATCCCAGATCTAAGACAGTGCTGAAGTCACTACACAAACCAAACATTGTAAAGAGTGAAGGAGTCCATAAAAGCTGTTCTGAAATGGTAACTGGAGAGAAACCAGAAAGTTTTAAAAAAATTAAATATAGTAGATAAGGTATGTTGTGTTTAAAACAGGCTGGTAGGCAATCAGAAAAAGAAGCATTTCGAGATCGGGAGTGACCAAGCTAGACATAGGCTGGATATCTGAAGCTGAAACTGCAATTAAGTTGAAATTTATGTACACAGTAATCTGCCTGACAGTGTTAACAGGCATAGCTCATACAACAGGACTATTCCCATAGAGGTGTCTTTAAAGCTCTGTCCATAACAGAATGGAAGGGTCAAATATTTTGATTAAATATACTAGGCTAGACTAGGTCACAAATGGAAAGATGGACAACTTGTTATGAATAATCATCCCATCAGAAGAACTAGTACTGTTTTTATAAACTCAAGGGGCATGACATGGTGACTCCATGTTATTTATTTAGATACTTGATTTTTTCTTATTAACACAACCCAATAGTAGGATAAGTAAAAATGCATTCATGAGAAATAGTCTCCACCAAAAATCTCTCTCTTTCTCTTTCTCTCTTTCTCTCTCTCTCTTTCTCTCTTTCTCTCTCTCTTTCTCTCTCTCTTTCTCTCTCTCTCTCTTTCTTTCTTTCTTTCTTTCTTTCTTTCTTTCTTTCTTTCTTTCTTTCTTTCTTTCTCCAATTCATATTCATACTTAACCCTAGAACTAAATACTTGCTTAGCTGAAAATTTTACAGCCAATTCTCACAATTGCTGGCTTGCAATCCTTTATTGACATGCTGTGAACTTAATAACAACAACTAAACTCGGTGACATTTCACTTTACTTTATTTGCATCAAGTTGATCACCCTATACAATTGCCATGACAGTTTGCTCACGACTCAAATGGAGTAGCATTTTGCATCAATACAGTAACAGCATTCACCATGGCACTTGGCTAGGTAGCTCCTCCTGATGCATGATCACTGTTACCAGTTCACTTGGGTTATGTACACCCACAGGTCACCATGCTCAGGCCTTGAGCCAATTAAAATCATCTATATTACAGTGTATGTGCTGCCTTTGTGCCTGTGCAGTTGGCACATCCATCTGTCACTGGAACTACCTGCCATGCAACCTCACCCAAGCCATCAAGATTGAGACAACCTAGCAAAACACCAGTTGTGTAAACTGAGATTTGGGTGAATCGGGCTGATAAATGGGGGAGGGGAAAGGGTACAGTTATGGCAAAGTATTTATAATCCAGAGTCTTCCAGACCTAACAGAGATTGAAATAGACAGGCAAAATGTGTAAGGCTGCAGCAGAAAGACAAGCTCCCCGCCTTTGTTGAAACATTTCTCTTTATTTTATTTTATTTTTGAAGATAATGATGAGGAATGGACATGGGCAGGGCTTTTTTTCTGGGGGGGATCCAGAACCTCTTTGACAAAATTATTTTTAAAATGTTTAAAAGTTTATGAGTTTTCAGTATACAGACTGAAAACCCCATTTCCCTCTTGAGAGTTCCAGCACCTATTCCCCCCACCTCAAAAAAAAAAGCTCTGGGCATGGGGTAAGGAGTTTGAGAATACTTATGAGAAGAACATTTTGGATCCAATTTCAAACATGCAAAGGAAAGAGAACATCTTTTCGAGATCTGAGGGTCTTGCTTCCCAAACATAGTGGTGACCCAGTCCTTGTCCTGTATACATTACTGGTCATCATATCTGTGTGGGTGCTATCTCACTGTATGTACAAGATATTTTTTTAATGCAAAGTGTCACTCAGGGATTAATTGTATCCATTGTAACTTCACTCCACAGAGTAGGATAGGTGTGCTCATTCCATCCTAGTATTCCTATTGGTTTCTGAGCTGACAGCTATGTTTATCAGACTGTTTGTTTGTTTGTTTGTTTCTCAAGGGGACAAACAGATATAATGAATATCATGAATCTGTATTCATCTGTAAAAGGCAAATTGCAAGCAGCCCTAATTCAGATCACTGTCACAGGGTGGGTGTGGGGGGATGGGATTTAACCCTTTGACCCCTGCTCACTTTTGCTAATTGCAACTGAGCTTCCCATGAGGATATTAGTGTTTTAAAGGGGGGGGGCACACAGTTTTTCTAAAGGACATTCCACCCCCCTTTAAAATGAAAAGAATAGCTAGTTAGGATATCTGGTTAAGACTAGCAAAACCAAACCGAAGGGTTAAACCTTCTCTCCCCTTCCCTATGTGGTCTAACCTGAATCAGGACTATGTGTGAAATTTATCCTTTATAGGGATGGAAATCTGCATTCTTATTCACCTCTATTTGTGCCAGGTATGTTCTGACTTTATCCTCAGCAAATCTCCGAAGGAGGAGAATTGCAGAACACTGAGACAGCAACAGAGGATGCCTGCATGTTTGCCATTGAGTTCACAGAATATTCCCATGACGATGGTGCTCAAGTGGTATTGTTACCAGAGTGTCCTTGAATCCTCTTCAGAGCGATGGATTATAAATGCCATAAAACAGATGAATGAATGAATAAATTCTGAGTTTATAAAGAGAAGAAGTGGTCTCTAAGGCATGTAGGATGCAGGACATCTACACTTTAACAGCCGTGATCATCACTCGAGAAGTCAACAGGAATCTAGCACAGATTCCGATCCACCAGAGCAATATACTCCCAAAGGCAGAACTAAATGTACTTAAAAAGGAAGGCCTTCATTCGCTGAAAAAGCTGCATTGGGAGGGGCATTGTCAAGCACAGGAGAGGGGCATTTTCCAAAAGGAGCTAGAGAAAAAAAAAATTGGCATTGATTAGAGCACTCCAGATTGCTGTGCCTGAGGTCTGAATACATTTTAGGTACAGGCATGCTCTTCTTCAGAGGTACTACAAAAATTATGAAGAAGCAAGGTTTAATTATCTTTTTTTTCTCTTGTTATTCATCTCTTAAATGAGGGGCTCTTTTCAACATTGGGACATAGCCTGTCAGTGGGAGGAAGGATAGTTTGCACTTTCTCCCTCATCTTTTTTAATAATACCATTGAAAAAGACTACTCAGAACATGTCAGTCATAAGAGATGGCAATTTGGCATCATAAGCAATGGCTTTCATTAATACCTATCCATATTGTTTTCTTAGTGCCCCTTTTTGTGTGCATGGTACCTAGTTTGGTACTGCCTCCTTTTTTTTACTTGGTACTTAACCATTAGGAGCTGCGGTGGCTCAAGTGGTTAAGACGCTGAACTGCAGGCTGTGGAAGGTCAGTAGTTCAGCTGTTCGAGACCCGGGTGCTGCAGGATGGAGGGAGCTCCCATCTCTAGTTCCAGCTCCTGCCAACCTAGCAGTTCGAAAGCAAGAAATTGCAAGTAGATAAATAGGTACCACTTCGGCGGGAAGGTAACAGCGTTCCGTGCGCCTCGGTGTTTAGTCATGCCGGCCACATGACCACGGAAACGTCTTCGGACAGCGCTGGCTCTTCGGCTTTGAAACGGAGATGAGCACCGCAACCCTAGAGTCAGATTCGACTGGCTTTCGAGCAAGGGAACCTTTACCTTTTTACTTAACCATTTCCCCCCATGCTTCTTTTCAGCTGCAACTCCCCCTCCCCGTAAGCCATTTCCCTCCCTTGTGAAGTTTCAGACACTAGTTTAGCCTCACAAATCTGTGTCTGTACCCTCACAGAGAAAAAGGGGAGGGGTTGCACTGAAAAGGCAGTAGGTAATCACACCTTCCCTTGCCACACACTGCTTTCCTGTTCCAAGTTTCCCCTTCCCAGAGTGGCTTTCCTTCACCAAAAGTAGGTCATTAGATACAGGTCACAGTTACACATTGAGAGCCCATCCCTTGAGGAGACAGGCTATTGTGTTCTGCTGCAGCATCAAAACAGTCTCTTCTCAGGCAGCACCACATAGAGCCTATTGCTGCTATGAAAATGTCAATGTTCGAAATTTATAAATCACCTCAACCAACCCCATCACCAGAAAGCAAAGCTGCAATCTTCCTCAGCAGTCAGAGTTGGCAAACACAATCTGAGCTAGAAAATTGGTGGTTGAGGTACAATGCTAATGCCTCAGAATACAATTACAATTCGGGGAAGGCCAAACTCCGTCCATGACAGGTTTCCTTCTATATACTACCAGTCCCAGGGTACGAGAACTGCCAGGCATCATTTCCTCTGTCTTGTGATTTGATTGGTGACCTATTTAAAGGTGCAACTTTAGACAAAGCCAAGTATTTTAAAGCTTTGCATGCCATCTTCCTCACACAGCAAATTGATGAGATTTGGCGTGAAATGAGATGGATCAACGAAGCTCTACAGTATGCAAGGTATAAACAGCCAGCGGCTGGCTTGCCGATAATGAAGATTGTGGATCTGTCTGAAGAACAATTACAAAAGAAGATAAGTTCAACATCCTCCCATCTCGATTGTCTTCCGTCCCCACCACCCTCACCAGAGACAGAGACCCACAGGAGAAAAGGCGTGAGTGGTAAGAGAAGACTTTTCCATCCATTTTGGGTCGAAGCAAACCCCAAACATGATTCTCCAGTCACTGTACACTCGAAACACATTGAGTTCATAGGCTGTAGCTGCCTAGCAACTGCAAAGTGGTCTTTGTGCTACACCAGCAATCCCTTATGTGGTGCCCATTGGTACAAACACACCTGCCCATGTGTCTCCTGGCATCCGGATGCTTCCCCTCCTACTACAGTTGCCAGCCCTGTGCTGGCAACCCCTAGGAGCATGTGGGTGCCAAGTCTAGAGTGGGGGGGGGCAGCTCTGGCACCATGATGTCAATTCCAAGTAAGCAACCAGAAGTGACATCATGGTGCCTGTGACATCATAGTGCCTGTGAATTTCTTGAGGGGACCATATTGATTTGGGGAAATTCCTAGAGCATTATGGAATCTCTGATGTTAGTTTTGGGTGTTTGCCTGGAAGTGACATCATGGCATCAGCTCCTCCATCAAGCAAGTGGAGGGATGCAGCACAGGGGAGAGAAATCACCTTCCACGGGCGGGCAACTGGTAAGCCTATCTCCTTCCCACTGTTAGCCCCTCCCTACAAAATTATGCATTCCTCGTCTCATGGAATTAGACTCCAGTCCTTCCAAAGAACTGAGAAGCCAGTCCAAAGGCTACTCCTTTGCCTTTTTAGGACTTCAGCACTTCATCTGACCTGAGGTGGGCTTTGTCCACTGAGAGGGAAGAACCTCCACCTGCCTGTGATCCCCATAGGAGGGTTTCTTCTTCCACTGCACATACATACTCTAGGAAAGTCTGGCTTAAGCTCTGTCGGTCAAATGTTGTGTGTGTTTTCTTTGGGGAAGGAGAAAGAAGGGCTCAATTTGGGGCCCCTGCATTCAAGTCCCTGGTTGCCAAGCACACCTGAAAATGTACTGGATTATAATGGGACTCGTTTTTCTGGTATTTGGCATATTTGGCACCAACTGGGTGGAATGGAAAAAAGGGACAAAGAAGGAGAAGAGGTAAAGTACTGATGCTTGCTACAGTGTGTATTAATTCTGCTAGGGAAATGCTCCCATGGCAGCCATTTTGTAGTGGTACTCAATACCCTTTCTCAAAATTTCAAAGTACCCACAGGTTCAACAAAGTTCAGATTAGGGTTGCCAGGCCCCCCTTGGCCACCTGCAGAGGATGGGAGGGTAGGGTTGCCAGCTCCAGGTTGGGAAACTCCTGGAGATTGGAGGATGGAGCCTGAGGATGATAGGAGCCTCAGTGGGGTACAATGCCATATAGTTCACCCTCCAAAGCATCCGTTTTCTCCAGGAGATCTGACCTCTGTAGTCTGAATATGAGCTGTAATTCCAGGGGATCCTGAGATCCCACCTGGAGGCTGACATCCCTACCTCCCACCATCTACCCACTCTGCCTGCACGTACACACACACACCTGCAAGGCTGCTGCTTAGGGTTGGGGGGAAACAGAGAGAAGGTCAATTTTAACTGATTCTCCCTTTTTTGTGTGTGTACTCCTCCCATACAAGATGTTCCAGAGGGTCCCCTGCAGTAGCTTTTCAAGGTTGCAAGAGAATTGCTGTAGGGCAGAGAAGAGCTACTTCCATGAACTCCTTCTCTTCAGAATTTGCATCCAATGCTTTATATTAGATATGTCCCATAGGGTGCCATTCATATGCTGCTCATGGTCCTCTCCATTTAAATTATGTAGTCAACCAGAAGAGGAAGAATAAGCTGAAACTGAATCCAGATAAAATGGAGATGATACTGGTTGGGAAGTTTACTGCTATATATGGGATGTTGCTTCTCACTATAGAAGGAGTACTATAGAAGGAGTACAACTTTGTCCTATAGACTCCATGGAGAGCTTAGGAGATATAGTGGCTCCTGATCTCCTAAAGTTTGTAATGAATTTTGGCTGGTTCGTGGTTCATGAAGCAATGTTCGCAAACTTAAGAACTGCCATGAACTTTCACAAATTTTGGTGTGTTTTGTGGCGGTTCATGAAGAGCAGAAAGCAGGGGTTTAATCCCCTGCTTTCTGCTCTTAACTCAAACAGCTGTTTGGTTTGAGTAATAGATGGATAGAATTTCCAAAATATAGATTAATTCAAATTATACAAAATCAAACCAATCTGTCATTTAATATCAGATACTATATTAGCTGGCAATATATCAACCTGTTGATGTTAACTTTAAGGGAAAATAAAACATGAGATCCAGCTTAATACCAATAGTAATATATCATCTACTCCATTAAGATTTCAAAGAAAATTTTATACTGACCATAATTCTAATATAAGCAAAGCATAACTATCCATTAATGCATTGGACAATTTTTGCCCTGTGTGCTGCTAAAATTCCCACCAACCAAATTGCTCCCTGGATTCTGAATTACTCAGCCTTATTTCTGAAGTGGAAACCTAATACATTAAAAATGTTCCATTCCCCCCTCCCTATCACCACAACTTCAGTTTGTTCCATAAATTTGTCTCTCCCCACAGCATACCCTTTATCAATGATAACATGCTCAATAAAATATGAAAAAAGTAATCTTGCTGTGATTGTATATACAGTTTATTGAGATGTGTTATTTTATGTTGGGTTTTAACTGGTGCAGGAGTGTCTATGTACACAAATTTTTAATAGCTTCAATGTGAAGCTACTGAAGAAACTAGAAGTTGTGTTGAACAGCTCATACTTCAGTTCTAGAATTAATTTTGGAAGTGTTCCAAGTCTAAATCAGAATTCAGAAGCAGTGGAAGAACAAAATCATGGAACAAGAAAGCAATGGAATGGGGGAAATCCTCTCATCCCTCCATCTGAGAAACTGCTACTGCTGTATTATTTCTGTCTTCTCAAAAGCTTATAATTTTCTCAACCACTTTCCAAATTTCCCAGTCTGCCAATAATAGGAAATGGTTTTAACTTTCAATGAAGGGCATTGTCTTAAATCCCCAGTGTCCTCATGTAACAGTCATCAATGACAGAGATCTTCTGTTCAGATACAGAAGTTATAGTGCCATCCAAAACAGTTTTGTGCCGTTCAAAGCCCACTGATGTCACTGGGCTTAGAAGGGTGTGACTCTGCTTCATATGGCACTGTTAGAGTGGCACTCAGCTTTGCAGCCTGCCCTAGGGCTGGCGCCAGCATACCCTGAGATAGGGCAGCTGCCATGGTCCAGGGTTTCTGGCAGGGCATACTGCAACAGAACCCCCAACCACACGCTGCCAGGAAGGGTTTGCAGGGGGTGTACAATGGTGATGTTCCTAGCAGGCACATTGGTGGTGTTCCTACTGATGATTACACCCAACATCATTGAAGAAAGGATGCATAGTCACTGCAAAGGCTCACAAACAGGCAGCGGAAGGAAGAACACACAGGTAGATGGGTAGGCTGGAAGGAAGGAAGGCAAGAGCTGTGGTCCTTGTGGTGTGGTCAGAGGTGGAGAGGGTGCCCCTAGGCACTCCCTGCCCAGGGCTCTCCTAAATCTGGAACCAACCCTGAGCCTGCCCATGGTCAATCAGTTTAACCTTCATTTAAGCCTGCTCAAGGTTAATCAGTCTTATCCTTTGTTTGCAGATTCCCAGCCGTACTCAGATGAAGAAGGTTGTTCTGAAGTATTCCTCCCAACTGACAGTGACTACGACTCTAGTGACGCCTTGAGTCCCAGAGAGCTGGATTTGGTTTATTCATCCTCACAGGACATATCCCAGCAGGCAGTTAGCTGCCTGAGTGGTAGTGCCCCAGATGTTCTCCAGGTCCTTGACATCAAACCTTGCCTGACGCCAAAGCAAAACCCCAGAGGAGGAGGCGCCACTTTAGAGACAGAAGTTGAGCAATCCTCTGAATCCATGCAAAGTCTGTCAATTGGAGGGCTTTCACCAAAAAGCACTGAAAAGACTCCTGGCTCGAGACAAACCTTGAACTTCTTAGGCAAGAAAAAACATGGGAAACATCAGCACTACAGCTACTTCAGCCGACACCACCGGTGGTTGCGTGTGCATAGTGAGAGCCAGTCTATCTCTCTCTCTGAGGGTGTGTATACACCACATCTCACGCGAGCCATGGAGTTCTCACAAGAGTCTGCTTCTGGTGAGCAGATCAGCATCTCAATTGATTGTCCCCGCAGCACTTTCTTACCTCACGCTTCAAGCCTTCCAGAAGAAGGGAAAGGCAAGTATCAGGAGCTGAGGCCGAATGTCCGCAGGATATTCGTTGAGCCTTACAAGACTTCGCTGCCCAGTGAAGATGGTAAATCCTGGGCATTGCGTAACCAGGCAGTGGAAAATGAGGATTTACACAGTCCCACAGGGCAGGAGATGGTTCCAGAAGATCCATCCAACTCTAGCTTCACTGAAGTATTTAGTAGCAATCTATAGGGGTATATGTGGGACAGTAACTCTGCTCCTCAAGCCTGCCCTCCAACTGTGACTGCAAGTATGACAAACAGAGGGTCATAGTTTCTTGTGTTTTCTTTCCAAAAGCAACCTTTGCATTCAGTGTTCCCAGTTCTTGTCTTCACCAACTGAAGATCAGACCTTATCTATCTATGGGTTTCTATGATGCAAACACAGGGTGCCTGACCCTGACTGTTAAAGATTCTTCTTTGATATTAATAGAGCTGAGCTGATAGTTCTGCATCTTCTTCATAGAAAAGGGTTGGGGGGGCCCTGAAATAGTTCCCTAAAGACCCCCAGTAATGTAAGCTCTTAAAATGCCAGTTTACTGACATTTGTAAGCCCAGGCCAAAAAACAACTTTGTTGTTGTTTTCAATAGCTCTTCTTCCTAATATCAAGAACTGCATATAGTCTAATTTGTACACTGGGGGCAAGCAAAGCTAATTCAGAGGAAGTGTGATACCTACTCAGGATACGCCGTTCTCTATTTGAACTTCATTTGCCTTCAAATTAGGGTTCCCATTTGCCCACTTGTGGCAAGAGTCCTCCAGGTAATTATGGCCATTGCCCTCTGATGCTCACCTGGTTGGTGGGCAGAAACTGGGGTCAAATGGGGGGGCCCAATTGTCCTGGGGAGAAAAAAGAAAAAGAAGGTCTCATATAGGGAGAAGGTCTTACAGGAAGTTCTAACCATAGAGTTCCTGGCAATTCCTAGAACTACCCTTTGTCACTTCTGGTAACTATAGGAAGGGCAAGAAACTCTGTGGTCAAATCTTCCTGTAAGTAACCCAGGTATTATTTTTCTTTTTAATTTTTCTCCTGTGATGCTGTCCCCCCACTACCCTCCCACTGATTGTCAAGCACTGCCTGGCAGCCCTACTTTAAGTGCCGTCATCAATGGCCACATCTAATTGCCTACATGACATAGCTAGGAAGAAGGCTAGTTTAAAGAAAAATGGCACTAAATTTGCAACTGATTAGAGCTGCAAAGAAGGTTACAATTGAGTGCTGCTGCCACCTAAAAGTTAGGTATGGGGATTTGCCCCACTATCTGAATATGAGTTGATGGTACAGCCTGAATTTTTGTTCTGTCTATAGTAAACCCCTCCCCCAAGAAAATCACTCAAAAAGGAAATACTTTGCATAAGGGAGATGAAAATTTTACAAAAGAGCACTCCTTACTTTCAGCTCAGCGCTAGCTTTTAATAACAACATGGTTTTCCACATGTGGCTCTTCCTTGCCTAATGGCTTTAGAGGCAGAGGAAGTCCATCTGGACATTTGCCTAACAAACAAGCATTTCCTTTCCTCAGGAAACCCTGGGAATTTCAGTTCAGGGGAGGGGGAAATGGCCCAGGGATCAACTGAGAGTTTTCTGCACTTCACCAACTTATAATACTGAACATTCTTTAGGGGAAGCCATGACAGCTAAAATGTCATCAATCTGGTATGCATTTTTAGAATAGCTATGGCCTCTGGGTCAGTAGTTGGCAATTCTTCTATAGGAACCCCACTGTGTTTGTTCCAATCAGGTGATTATACAATTAGGTTTAGTGACTTGTGCTCATAAAACATGTGGCAGGTACATCCTGGAGTTAGGGTGAGGACTGAATTAGGGCATTCTTCGTGGCATTTTGGTTAAGGCCATTTTGAAAATGTGACCTTAATCTTCTAGTTTGTTGTATTTATTCCTATAGAAACTGTGAATCCCAAAGTTTACAGCCTAAACTTACTAATGTGAAATACGCCCCCCCCACACACACACACAGTATGCACATGACCACACAAACTCTTGCACGTGTGCATATGTAATCTCCTCCCCAATTCCATATGTCCCCAGATTGTAAATCAGTAGATAAAGTGAACAGCAATGAGCAATTCTTCTGTAGAAAATTGGACTTTAATTCTTTGTTGCACAGCACATTTTAACTATGAAGCAACCCATGAAGTGTAGCAAAATAATAATTTTGATTAACTGTACTAAATTGAAAATAGAGTAAACTTGTCTAGATACTAATTTTTGCACTAAGAACGAGCTTTCCAAAGTATGACCTTTTAAAGTCGCATTCATGCAAAAGGCATGTTCCCCCTGTCCCTGTCCACTGACAACTTTTTAATATTGTTTTTAGAAATACAGACGTCTGTGACTTGCAAAACCTGATAGTCATCACATAAATCTTAAAATAGACACACACCCCAAGAGTCATATGATAGATACACAGGTGTACTAATTTCTTTTTTCCTATTATCATTTCTGGTCAAAAAGGTTTTGTAGGTTTTTAAACCATTACAAAACCCCACAAGAGCTATTTAACAGAGAGGATAATGAGATGTGCATATACACTGTGGGCGATAATGTCTCCATCATTTAGTGCTGGCAGTGCCAATTGTCAACAAACAGCAGTGTTTGGTAGATGTTCCAAATTAACCCCAAATCATTAGGAAACATCTCAATCAACTAAATTGGCTGCATGAGCAAATTTTCCTCTGCAGGTGTTAGTGTGAAATATTCTCCAGTAGTTCTCTAAAAGCTGCTGAATATTTACCAAGTGCTTAAATATTTATATTTACATCTAGCGTTTAATGTGACAATTGATTCTGGATTGTATTTGATAGCTAACCTGCAATGGTATTTCATATCTGATAGTATTTGACAGCTGATGAGATTTCATATTTGATGCCTGCCAAAATCGAAAGAGTCAAGATACGTCACATTTTGAATTTTGAAATGACTTTTCATGTTCAGAATGCAAATGAGAAATGCCATTTCAAATTCAAATGGCCAAATGACAGATGTCAGCAAAGTTCAAATATTTGTATTTGCTTCCACTCCAGTTGCTGCTTAGAGAAAGTGTCTACCTTACTGTGGAACAATATGGGACAGTCTGTCTAAAGCAGTTCTGTATCTGGGATTAACAGGGGAATTAGGGATACACATAACAGGTTCTAAGAAAGATACGCAAGTGGTCAAATCACTGTGCAATCCTATGCACAGTTATTCCAGTCTAAGACCATTGATTTCATTTGGCTTAGGCTTGAGTAAACTCTACACTATCTGCCTACAAGGAATAAAATGAATGCGCTTAGCTTTAAGCCAAACTAACTGCACCAAAGCAAAGGTGGCTGATCTGGTTTAAATCAAGTATACTTTGGCTTACTCTGGATCTGAGCCACAAATTATCTCTGGATCTTAAGAGCTCCCTCATTAATTGTGAGCCAAAACTTGAAAACTTGCACCCCTCACATGCATTGCTTGCAAGGCCCACTAACTGAAAAGTTGGTCCAAGAAACAGTGTCCAGTAAAACACCCCTCTCCTCTGTTCACCTTCTGAATTAACTACTACACATTCATTAGTGATTGGGTCTTGCCTGCGTGCATATGGCAAAGGCACCCACACAGACAGCTATAAATTACTACTTCATTGCTGAAATGTAAATATTTTTAAATAGAGCCAATGAAAGATTCGAAGAGGCAGGGAGGGAGAAAGGGGGGAGCTCGTCGTGTATATAGGGAATGGAATGTTTTATCCCAAAAGTTTACGCTTAGGGTATTTTAAAAGAAATGTTTTAGAAAGAAACGGTGCATCTTTCTGTTCCATGTGTTCCAGTCCCACCACGTACACACACCACACACATGCACTTAGTTGCTGGTCAACTCTTTTTAAACACACGGCTCATGACTGTTATGTACAAAATTTTTAGAAATCCAATGCAGCCTTACCAGCAACAAGGACATAGTGTATTGGGGAGGGGGATGCTACAGAGTTTGGAAATTTCTTCTAAGGTTCTTAATTCAGAATTTCTTTAAGGAGTTGAACTTTGCCATCAGCAAATATATATTTTTAGAACAGGCCCTTTGCGTGTTTGTCTAAAGCTACAGTGGCTTTTTTTGTTTGTTTGTTTGTTTGTTTCTTCTTGTTTGGGGCATTCCATGCATTAAAGATAAAAACTGAATGCATTTGCTTATACGTCCACTGATGCAGCATTAGAAAAGTGGACCTTCCCAATGTTGGCAGAGTACTGAGAAGCACAATTATGAACTTAAACTCACCATGCCCTCTTATTTTAAAAAAGGCAAGATGGGGTTCTTCACAGTATGCCAAGGACCATGCCACAGAAATACATCCAGGATCATGCTTGTTCTGGGATGAAATTACACATGCCCTCTGCCAATCGGTATTTAGAATGGTGACTTTTCGTGGGCTTTAAAACAGACTTCTGTGCTGCTAAATAGTAGTGGCCTACTACTCATGCTTTTGCATTCTCTGTTGTGGTGGGAATGGGTTATTGCAATGTAAAGAAGGATTTTACGGGTGTAAGGCTGGGGAAAACAATCACTGTGTCAGATTTACTTAGGCCAAACTAGATGTTGGACTCATGGATGTCGACGCCATTTTGGAGATGAATTCAGCCATTTTAGAATCATGGAGTTGGAAGGGGCCATACAGACCATCTAGTCCTACCCCCTGCCCAATGCAGGACCAGCCTAAAGCATCTCTGGAACATATTCATCCAGCCTCATGGACGGCTTCAAAAGGGAATTAGATAGGCATATGGAGCAGAGGTCCATCAGTGGCTATTAGCCTCAAGGTATAGATAGGGGCTCTGGGGCAAGTGATGCTCTGTCTTCTTGGTGCTTGGGGAGGCCAACAGTGGGAGGGCTTCTAATGTCCTGGCCCCACTGGTGGACCTCCTGATGGCACCTGGTATTTTTGGCCACTGTTTGACAGAGTGTTGGACTAGATGGGCCTTTGGCCTGATCCAACATTGGCGTCTCTTATGTTATGGTCTTATGTTCTCTTCTTGAAAGCTGTCAGTGAAGGGGAGCTAACCACCTCTCTAGGCAGTTGATTTCACCTTTGAACCACTCTGACTGTGAAAAAGTTTTTCCTAATATCCAGCCGATACCTTTCTGCATGTAATTTAAACCCATTGCTTCGGGTCCTATCCTCTGCTGCCAACTGGAGCAACTCCTTGCCCTC